AAGTGTTTTGCAATTCCCCACCAAATTCTCCAGCTGATTTCCTTTTAGGAATCTAAAGTGAAACTTCTATCCTTAGAGGTGGTTTGGTATCAAAGGATTTGTTTAGTGAGTAGAAATTTATGATAAATTCAGGCTTTCTTTCTGCATATGCTGTATCTGGTTCTGAGATTGAAGGAAAGAATTAGAAAGAATTCACGGCCTCAAGTGTGAATCTGGCCTGTGTGTCACTGGACAACTCAGAACCTTATTACAGAGGCCACAAATCCTAGTGAGCACACACTGCCAACGACATTTAATACGAAACATATGAAAATCAAACACAACATTTAAAGGTCACATGGAAGATGTCTCTACTCACCACTGTGACATTGAAAGCATATAGGAGGTCAAAGGGCAGGGCAGCAATCAAATCAATGATGAACCAAGTCGTGACGTAGTGGATGCAAATAGATCTGGCTTCAAAGATAACTTGGCCAGACTTGCTGACATAAGTTGTTCGGAAATTTAGAATAATATCTGTTAGGGGAAAAAGATAATTAGGAAAAAATAGAGGGAAAAGGAGAAGGAAAAGAAAGAGTGAGAAATAATGGAGAAGAGAATAAAGGAAGGGGAGAATCCAGGAGGCAAGCAATTAGAGAAGAAGGGGAAGAAATGTGTATAAAACTATACAAAATCAAGCAAAAAGTAATTTTAAGCTATTTCAGATTAGTGTCCTCATGGATTCGTTGTAAATTAATGAGAAAATACTAAAGAAGGGCAAAGGACACGTGGGACACTATGTTCAAATGACTGAACAATTATAGCCATCAGAACAGTAGCAACATTACCAAGTGCCCAACATGCAATATTCTAGAGCTCGTCTGGTGATTGTTCCATCCCCATTATAGAGGTAGAAACAAATTCATCCATATCATTGTAGCCAACAGCTGTCATGTGCGTAACATTACTTAATTCCATGCACAAAGTTTAGCAGATCACTGTGTGGACAGGAAATTTACCCTTGACTTGAAGGCATGTCTCTTATCAAGTCCAGCAGTTACTAATTTGGCTCTATAGCTTAATCTTTCTCATTCTCTTCTTGCATTTTAGGTAATTATTTTAAAACTTTCCCTATATAACTGTTTTGTTAAGTGTTTATTGAGTCTTTTACTACATATAATACCCTCATAGGTGCTAGCCAAAGGACAAACCCACAACCAATCATGCTTTCTTAAGTTTGAAGTCCTCTTTGTAAAAATGAGCATTTCACAGGTTGATATCTTGCTTTCTGGATTAAGTAAAATTAAGATGTATGTTTTCTTTAAGACCAAAGGCATGCAGGTCACAGTGAATTTCAGGATGGTTACACACATAAAAGAATGGCACATGTGGGCAGCTGACTCACAAAGAGATATTACTCCATGAGCCTTATTTTGGGGTAATAGACTGGTTCAACTCACAAATCAAATCAGGATACATGGTGAAATCAGTATCTCAGTTGTTGAAACTAGGAATTGAGGTAATTCCAAAACAATAAAAACTCTGAGTTATAGAATGGATCAGCATTATCAGATGAATTGGCATACTCTGTGGCTAATTTAAATGATTGAAAATAATAACAGTGTTCTGTGAGGTGAAAGATATATTCATGATCACATGAATGACCCCATGATCACAATGTTGACTGCTGAAACCTGCTCATTGGTTAAACCCCAGCAAAACAACAACAACAATAACAAAAACAGCCAAGAAGATACCAAGTTTTGTTAGGGGATTAGATGGGGAGATAAAGGTGGATATGATCACATTTCATTGAATCTATTTATGAAATTCTCAAGAATAGAGAAAAATATTTAAAACTGTTAAAATGTACAAAACAAAATTAAAAATTTCATGGTTATGTTCATTATTAACTTGAATTTCATTTTGATTTTCATTTTTCACTCATCCTTCTGTAATAGACTAAGCATTCATGGCCTCCCTTCTGCACCCAGATATTTGCTGGTAGAATCTATGTACATAGTAATATGGGTCCATTGTCAGGCTATACTTTAAAGCAGAAGGTGGGCTGTGCTGAAGGGCCTCCAGTGGCAGGCCCTCTGAAGAGACTTTTCTTCAGCTCAAGTGACAGGGAATTAAAAGTTAATAACAAATAACAACCATATCATGAAGCGAGCTACACAACAGGGTCAATAGGTGGCTTCTAGGTACTATGTGAAACCCAAGACTGATTGCTAAGTAAATGTCTATTATGGAGGATCCATGATGGTGGGTAGAAGCTAGAAGCACTTCCAGTTTCTCTGTCTCAGAAGCCAAAATCATAGCACAGCTCCTCAGTAGGGGTGGGGTATGGAACTGTGGAAGACAAGCAGAGGAGAATATCACCTAAAAGCTGACATAGAACTGAAGGACCATCTGAATTGACCACAAGGAGCATCCTTGTTTCTCAAGTAAAGCCCATTTAGAAGGCTGTGATGAAATGTATGTTGCTTTGGAGACTGTCCCTGCTTTATTCTCATAGAATTCACAGCAAATACGTCTACACTGTCTGCACAGCACCTACTGTGTGATAAGACATGGTGCAGCAAGCACACTAGAAAACATAGGCAGCTGATTCCAGTTGTAAACAAGGAATGAAGCTCATTCTTAAGAGGATGGGTCAGCGGGTCCCCTAAGGAGTCTCAGTGGACTGAGCAGAAGTACATGATCCATACAGTTGACTTGGCCTTGTGAACCAGAGCTGTCTTAAGAGGAACAGCATAGATCCTGTCATGCATTCTTCACCCAGCCCAGTCTGTGGTTTGACCCTCTCTGTGGAATGTCTGAGATCTGGATGGAAAGAGGAGTTACAAGTGCACAGATCCCATCTATCCCCACACACTCTCTCTGAAAGAACTTTCTTCCATGCTACCACGCACTCACTAGTGACAAGAAAAGTGAAGCTGTTCCATCCAGCTCTGGTCCTGAACAATTCTTGATCCAAAGCGGGCATCACACAAAAAAGAGAAGAGTGAATATCCCTTAACCACTGCCTTCTCCAGGGCTGCAGAGCCCAAGCAGACCAGGAAAGAAGTGTACAACCTGGCAGGGAGGGTTCAGCCATGCCACGTGCCACATGCCACATCCCAGCAAGATAATACATGGTCTCTCACCCCCACTCCTCTTTTTTTCCTATTTTCTAAGTTGGTTTGTACATGGACAGCCATATGTAGTCCCCTTTTAGTCCTATTATTGATTTCTTTGTTTGTTGCTCTTCCCTCTTTTTCTCTTCCTCTAATAGTTAATCTCTTTTATTCTCTTCATATACATCCTTTTTCTGTTTTAACATAATTATGGCCTTCACTTCATACCTTTTGTTTGATTAATCCCTGTCTACTTTTTGAATATTTTTTGTTTTTGTTTTCTATTTATTATTTTCTTTCATCCTAAAATATTGCAATCTTAAATTCTACCACAAACATAGTGACAAAGCCACCATGGCATTGGCTCAAAGCAGACATGGAATAGAATAGAATATCCAGAGATAAACACCCCAGTGTTCAGGAAACTGATTTTCAATATGGATGCCAAAAACATACATTGGGAGAAAACAAAACAAAACAAAACCTCTTCAACAAACAGTGCAGGAAGGGAGATATTCCCATGGGGAGACTAAAGCTAGCTAGATTCTAACTTCACCCTGAACAAAAGTCAATAAAAAAAAAAAAAGGTCTGAGCAGGAGAGGAAAGATGAATAAGAGAGAGATGGGAGATAAAATAATAGAATTCATAATGACCATGTATGGAACTTTCAAGGAATAAAAAATACAAAATTGCACCAAGAACTGTAATATGAAAACAGAATCATTAAGAAAAAAATGTTCAAGGGCTGGAAAGATGACTCAGCTGTTAAGAGTACTGTCTCTTAACTTCCAGAGAACCCAGGTTTAATTCCCAGAACCTACTCGGCAGCTCACAACTCCATATAACTCCAGGATCCAATACCTCACACAGACATACATGCAGACAAAACACCAATGCTCATAAAATAAAAATAGATAAATTATTAAAAAAATGTTCCAAAGGAAGGAAGGAAGGAAGAAAAAGAAAGAAAGGAAGAAAGAAAGGAAGGAAGGAAGGAAGGAAGGAAGTATGGAAGGAAGGAAGGAAGGAAGGAAGGGAGGAAGGAAAAAAGAAAGAGAAAACGGGGACTTGAGTTATAAAACTACAAAGATACAAATTCTCCCAAAGACCATACAGGTTTATGGAGAAAATGTAAGGTCCAGAAGAGACCACACTGCGCTGGAATGCTGGAGTTTGCACTTCAGCCATGTGAATGTCTGTGTGGCGGACATGCAGCTAAGCTCTGCCTGGGTTTCTGGTGTTATTCGGACAGTGAGACGGTCAACAAACATTGCTTTACACTGAACATCTGTGGTTACTTGCCATGCATCAGTAACAACGTTGTCAATAGCATCTGCCATGTCATTTGTCACTCATCCAGGGTGAGACAACGTGATAGAGGACTTACAACAGACTATGTTTGTAGTTATAAATAACTCAGTAGTGCACAATGATGTTTTAATCTTTAGAATCATCATCTCATTGACTCATGAAAACAATACTAAGATGTGTACATTTTCTTTATTCCCCTTTACAAGTAGGGAAACAGTGATAAAAGAGATGAAGTAACTTGCCCAGAATCACACAGATGACAATAGTGCATACATACTTAAATTCCACAACTGACTAACATAGGAGGAGGTGAACTCCACACTTCTGACTTCCAATTCAGAACTTTGGGTTTTGTGCCTTGGTAGAGACCAGTCACATCAGTAGTCTGGAATCATGGTCTCAGGGACCCTCAATCCCATTACTGTTACTATTAAACATCACATTTTATCAGATGTAAATACATTTAGACATCTGCATTGTTACTGTTGAGAACATGAAAGGGTGATGCTGAAAGAAAAGGAATGCTCACACAAGACGGAGGTGCCCAAGTGGTCTCCACCACAGGGTAAGATACTGTGGTGACCCAGTATCGCTGCAGCACCAAGCCTGGCCACAGTGGGCAGAGGAGGAGAGAGAATGCCACCAGACCTTTGAGTGTTGTGGACTTTGTATGCCTTCTCTTCATCTTTCTAAGCTCACAGATTTCTGCAGCGTGAGCAATGTAACATGTGCAGTCACCACTTTGGAATGAAAGCAGGCATTGCCATTTCAGTGGGACTGCAAGGAAGCTCAGGCTAAGTAATTCAGTTCTAGAGAAACAGTGTTAGCTATCAAACCCATGGTAAAGTTTGGTGCCCATGGTACAGGTTGAGGTTAGTGTGAGAGTTTACCATAAAGTTCAAAGGACTGTATAACTAGAAAGAAGGAATGGCTGTCAATGTTATATGGCACAAGAAGTGACTGGAGTTGATGAAATTAATTAAATATTTCAAAATAGCTAGTACAACTGCTTGTTCTTCAAACAAGGATGTGATGAATATTCAAGATATGCCAGCTATCCCTATGCAGCCATTATACATTGTATGCATAAACGAAAGCATCAC